TCATCAACTATGACACCTAGAAATTTAATTTCATATACTCGTTCTATATTAGCTCCCCCTATTTTCACTTGCAGTTCGTTATCTAGTCTACAATTCCCAAATACCATAAATTTAGTTTTATCCATATTCAGAGATAGAATATTACTATCACACCATTTCTTTATCTTCTCAAGTTCCTGTGAAACCTGTCCCGAAAGTTGCTGTAGGTTATCCCCGGATGCCCATATCGTAGTGTCATCAGCAAATAAGACCACTTTCATTAAATCCAAAACCTTGCACATATCGTTAATGTATAGTATGAATAATTTAGGTCCCAAAACTGAACCTTGAGGCACTCCACATACAATGTCCAGATTACTCAACTGATATTCACCCAACTTCACAAATTGACGCCTCTGTGTCAAATAACTACTAATCCAATTCAGAGCCACTCCTCTGATCCCATATTTTTCTAACTTGCACATTAATAATTAATGATTGATTGTGTCAAATGCTTTATTATCCAGGTGTGTCGAACACATGAGGAATTTGACTCTGGTACATCGGCTCTCAATGTGCATGTACATATCCCTATGCAAGGGGCAAGTAAACAATGAACCAGCATAAGGCTGTGTAATAAAACAAAGTAAGCATAAGACGGATTGTCTGCTGCTCAGACAATTATAATAAATGACAGTATATTGTTCAGAGGTTTGTCAGAGCTGCAGAACAAACCACAGCAGATTTTTCTTTGAATCTGGAATCAGACCTTGAGCTGGCACATTGAGTCAGCCTGTGTTTACGAGAGTGTGAACACAGCTTCCATGGTCCACAGGGCTTTAAATGTAATTTATCTTCAGCTATTGTGTTTAACTGCAGAGTAAGTTGGATAAAATGGAAAAAGAGAGAAGCAACCTGGGGACTTTAAAGGCTGTCTGATAACAAGTGGTGTTGTGAAAGTTTCTCCTGCCCAGGATCTAAGCTTTATGTCTGTCTCTTTATGTTGAGCCCGTTCTTGTGTGTTTGACAAGTGGCCTTGCAGTCGAAACAGCCTGGTTCCTTGTCACCCTCTGTAACATGTTTGTTCCTCAGCGGGAACGTGAAAAATAGTCCCTGGTCTGCTCACTCCTGCATGAGTTGGACTGGAAATTATCTAACTTCTTCAGCTTAACTCATTTTCTCTCTAGAAAACACTCAATGTTTTGTTGCCATGGAGACAAAAACCCAGACAAAACCTCCCATACCTACTGAGATGCAACCCCTGAGAAGTTGTTAATAGCCTTGCTGCGATGGATCTTTTTTATTATGTTTATCAGGTTATGTATTTGCTGTTGCTGTATTGTTTGGACAGTGATTTAGACAGAATCAGTGATCACCTTAACATTGCCAGACCACTAGAAAATGAGTTGAGCAAGATAAACTTACAGTATATTTCCAGTTCACCATAGTGTTCCACTGACAGTCATTTGAAATCAGATGGAAAAGTGCCTGTACTGATAGGTTTGTCTTTAAGCTCTAGATTAACATTATAAGTACTTACTGTCACATTCTGGGTGAAATAAACACCTTATACCTTCAATTCCTATATACTGTATAATATTACTTGAACCAGTTGGATCACCTCAATATTGCAATAGTTTTAACCCAAATAGCAAACAGGTGTGAGCCAGATCTGGTATCAAGCTGGTACTGCTGGCAGGGCAAGTGGTATGTCAACCGGATGTGGGCCATGTCTGGCAATGATGGCACTGTTTATATGATGACATGCCACATGTGGCCCAATTGTGGTTGAGCTCATATCTGTTGCTGTTGCCCATATCTGTCTCATATGAACAGGCACACATAGTGTTCCCTTAAGTGTGAACCACAAAGAATTTTTAAGTCTTACCTTTAAAATGTTTTTCTACATTACTGGTGTATCACACACCACCCCCCCTACTCCTAATTCAATTTAATCTTTGGAGTTTATAGCAATTAAGTGCATTCAAGCTCATAAACACATCCACATCACGTGCTTCAACACTGACAGAAAATTATTTCTCAGAATTGAATGAGTAATAATTAAAACAGATGGCTCTAAACTTACCTATTATTAAGTTACAAGACAATTTCGTGTTTGTGTGTTGAGAAATTAAACCTCTCACTATTCTGAACAGACTGTCCACTTATGGCCTCCCTGACAACCAACCAACCAATCTTGTCCTTTGCTCTTCGCTCTCATTGGCCATCCCTCAACATGTGACCCCATTTCCTACGCTCTCATTGGCTCTAGCTATTTTCTGTTGTAAAGAGCTCAAACAGAACTGGATGCACCGTTTTGAACAGAGAGAAGGGGTCATAGCCCATGTGTGGGCCACCTCTGGCAAACCAGGTCTGGGCCACCAAAGGGCCGTCATTCTTTGCGGTATGTCGGCCGAGTGTAAGTGCATTGTGTGGGCCAGACCAGTTTTGCTATGCGGGAAGCTGTTTAGTGCACTTTCACTAAAGCTATTTTACACGTGAAAACACATGATAAAAATAAGGTTAGACGAGTCAGGAGTAACAGGGAGTGCATAGTGCTGCCAAAATAAGAAAAATTATAATACACTATCATTAAAATTTTAATAACTTAGTAACAGCAGGCGTGTTTGTGCCTCGTTTGTGTGTGGACATTGAATCTAGGGCTCCAACTTAAAGTCATACTCATTAACAGTTAATCTGTGCATTTTATTTTTCAATTTATTGATTAATGAAAAAAAAAATGCTCATCACTTTTTCATGGAGTCCAAGCTGACACCTTCAGATGTTTTGTTTGGCCAGTTTAACAATGAAAAGAAAAAAAAAGACACAACTTCACACATTGGAACCAGGGAGTGGTTGGCATTCGTAAATGACTTGAACAGTTCAATGTAGTTGTAGATGACTTGTCTGTCTATCAACTAATTTATTACTTTACTCATTGTCTCAGATGTCAAATCTGCAGATCAAGAGGTCCACTCACTAAGATGGTTTCTGGCATATACTTATTTTATTCTATAGATTCTTCTACTTCCATTTTAAATGTTTTCAACCTGTTTAGTGTTTCCCTTCCCCCTACCTACCAAGCAGCACTATGTGTAAAGTTTTACCGTTATCATATTGCTCCTGGTGATATCACTGGTGCCTGAATGTGTGAGTGCTTGGGACTGTGAATGGCCAAATAGTGTGAAAGCGATTTGAGTGTGCTGCAATGCATAGAAAAGTGCTATACAAGTATAAGAGCATTTACCAAATGTATTACCTCACTTTTATTATGCTGCTGTGTGATTTGCATACTACTGATGTGAGAGGTTTTCCCTGTCTAAGATGTATTTTTTTCAGGCACTGCAAATTTGTTGTCAGTTGTTTTTTTTTTTAGATGTGAGCTGTGGGTTTCACATACTGAAATTAAAACTCCTGGTGGCAGAATACAAATAATAAAATCACATAGTGACCTCATTAACCCCGTGCACATGCTCCTAAAACCACGGGGACAGACGCCTTTGATGACGTTTGTCCCTATGAATTATAAACGAGACTGATTTTGCATATCACAGCTGTAACAAAAGCTGACACTTGACACGCTTCTTTGAGGCGGTTCTGTCACCACATGGCGGGAAGGATTTTGTTTCCAAGTAGAAAAGAGGCGACTGATCCACAGGTTTTGTTGTTGGTTTAACAATATCTGCAAAAGCATCTTTTTAGTCGAGCGCACACACGGAATTCATACTCTACAATCTGCTCATTTGCTGAAGAGAGAGCGTTGATTTACAAGCTGGTGCGCGTTGTCTTCAGCACCATGGAGAGCAACACCCCCCCTCATAAGAAGAATAAGGCGCGCGCGCACACACACACACACACAAAGGACCAATCAAATAATCTGTTTTGCTTCGTCGCTTTTGGCCAGTGCATATTTTTACATGCACAGTACAGCCGCCTTCAGTTTTCTACATAAACAATTACATCAGCTCCATGAAACACTTACTGATGGCATTACTTGGTCTTCGTCAAAAGAGTTCAACACAAACGTTGCCAGACATTAATGCCGACAAAACCACAATTGCCTCCTTGAGAAATGGAAACTGTAAATGTCCACGTTGAGGGTTCATATGAGTCGTACATGATTTCCCAGGGAACGAATCCAACTTGCTTCAAACAGGTGTGGACGTGGATGGTTCATCAAGTGTTTTTATGTTTTTGTTCCATAACATTTCAATAGAGCACGTGCGCTTAGCTTGAACTGTGAAGTTAAGTCCCGACTGGGTGGGTGGTGACACACGTATGTCACACACATCCGCGGCGCGTCCGCTGGTGTCGACGTGTTTGGGGGAAAAAAGGGCAAAGCGGAGTGCAGCGCTTCAGTGTGTGGATAGGCTACGCAGAGATGGTTATGAGAGATTCATGTAGCGTCTGCCTCAGCTCTCCAAGGTTGTGAGCCTTGGCTGGGAGAGGCGTGGCGCACTCTGCCCCTCCAGACTGAAAACCACCTGTATGGATCACCAGTCGTCCAGTGTGATTCAGCCGACCTCGTCCCCCAGGTACAGGGGCAGTCACGCGACTGACAGCCAAGGTGATGCCGAGGTGGCGAAAGGCACAATGACGGTGGAAAACGTGCTGGAGGAGTCCGCCGTGCTCTCGGCGCCTCACCTGTCGACGGATCGATATGAGCGCGGCCGCCAGGGATGCTGCGAGAGGGTGGTGATCAACATTTCGGGCTTACGCTTCGAAACGCAACTTAAAACTTTCAACCAGTTTCCAGACACGCTATTGGGAGACCCCAGGAAAAGGATGCGCTACTTTGACCCACTGAGGAACGAATACTTCTTTGACAGGAACAGACCGAGCTTTGATGCCATCCTGTACTACTACCAGTCAGGGGGGCGTATACGGAGACCTGTCAATGTCCCAATTGATATCTTCAGCGAGGAGATTAGGTTTTATCAATTGGGAGAGGAGGCCATGGAGAAATTCCGAGAGGATGAAGGATTTATAAAAGAAGAGGAGCGCGTATTGCCCAAAAATGGTTTCCAAAAGCAGGTTTGGCTTTTGTTTGAGTATCCTGAAAGCTCCGGGCCAGCCAGAGGGATAGCAATAGTTTCAGTGCTCGTTATTTTGATTTCCATCGTTATTTTCTGCATGGAGACTCTACCGGAATTTCGGGATGAGAGAGAGCAAGCAACAGTGGCACCCGCAGTAAATGGCACTGCTCCTTATGTGCCAAGCCCGTTCACGGACCCCTTCTTTGTAATTGAGACTTTGTGTATCATATGGTTCTCTTTTGAGTTGCTGGTCAGGTTTTTCGGCTGCCCCAGCAAAACTTCATTCTCCAAAAATATTATGAATATCATTGACATCGTCGCCATAATCCCCTACTTTATCACTTTGGGGACAGAGCTGGCCGAGAGGCAAACAAATAGCGGACAACAGGCGATGTCTCTCGCCATCCTAAGGGTGATCAGACTAGTGAGAGTCTTCCGCATTTTCAAGCTCTCACGACACTCAAAGGGACTTCAGATTTTGGGGCAGACCCTAAAGGCCAGCATGAGGGAGCTCGGTTTGCTCATATTTTTCCTTTTCATCGGAGTTATTCTCTTCTCCAGCGCGGTTTACTTTGCGGAAGCGGACGATCCCTCGTCCAGCTTCAGCAGCATCCCAGATGCGTTTTGGTGGGCAGTTGTCACCATGACCACAGTCGGATATGGAGACATGCATCCGGTGACAATTGGTGGGAAAATAGTGGGGTCGCTGTGCGCAATAGCAGGCGTGCTGACCATTGCCTTACCCGTACCAGTGATTGTGTCCAATTTCAACTACTTTTACCACAGGGAGACTGATGGAGAGGAGCAGCCCCAGTACCTGAACACAGGCAGCTGTGAGCACCTCCCCCCGGGGGAGCTGGGGAGGTCGTGCAGCTCAACGTCTCTCACCAAGTCAGAATACACGGGGATAGAGGAGGGCATCAACAGTGCGTTCAAACAGCCCAACTTCAGCACCGAAAATAACCAAAACTGCGTGAATATCAACAAGATGTTCACGGACGTGTAGAAGTAAACTCACAACGGGCCATTTATGGAGCACGAAGAACTAGTAGCTATAATATTTTTATATATCCAATCGTAATGTGTACGTCCATATTTGTGAATAAACGCTGCGTAAATATCAGTTTTAAAAGGTGATTTATCCTTTTTAATGAGACGATTCCTTGTTACCAGTGTGCACTGTTTTGAACATTTCCAAGAGATCAGTGAGTAGCCTATTAATGACCTAAACATTGTATTGGGAAAGTATTCATTTCTGTTTTAATGAGCAAATTGGTGGCTTGTTAAAACATATTTTGCAGTGTATAGTGCCACGATGCCTACATATCTCGATGTTATAATGCAGACTTTGTTGGTGTTATACACGTGTAGCATATAGTCCACTATATTGCATCTACAGCAAAAATCGACGTCTTGTGCTTAAAGAAAAGTTTCATTGTCCAGTAATGTAATAAATAGACATGGTAATTAATACAGCCAGATGCCTGTTGAGGTTATATTCAATATCATAACCCTGTTAGATGTTGGACTTTGAGTCTTGTTCACATTATTATTCAGGTAATAAACTGCAGAGTGGTGTAGATGGCAACGTTCATCATTCATTATATACAAGTCGAGGTTTTTAGGATTTCCGGTAGAGTCTGCAGCCTGTTAAATAAAACGGAAATTATTCTCTAAACTCAAAATGTCATATTTGGATAGGTATCCGGTATCAGATCAAATTTCATGGAATGCAACAGTGAGTAATTGTGTTTTAAGGTCGCACAAGACAGGATGAAAACAACGTGGATGGGGAACGTGCGGCACGTCCCGCCTCCTGCCGCCGAGCCCGCAGTCTCCATGACGACAGTGGTTTCCTGGGCAACCCCCTGCAGTGTTACCATGGCATTGTGTTGCATTTTCACAGACTTAACTTTGGTACATTATCACCTTATTGCCCTTGGAACGGGGAAGTGATCAACAACTGTAGATGTATGATTTTTTTTTTTTATCATCTTAAGTAACATCTGGAGTTTCGTCACTTTTCTTTATACAGTAGGTGTTTAAATCAACACCAATCAGTAATATGCGTCCTTTAGGAGAAGTTAACAGCCTGTAGCTTCAGGGAGTGCGTTGGTGGATATGTAGAAATGTGAATATGATGAAAAGCTGCTTTGTCTCCCTTCAATAAAACCCCAGCTGCTCCGTTTTTCAGATGTGAGCTCCATTCTCTGAGTTGGCATGCCAACTGGGTCTGACGTCAGACACCTTACATCCCCTCCTGCAGACACTTGCACGTGTGCTTTTCGTACAAAGTGCAAACAAAGTCCACTAAAAATTAATTACAGGGCTGGATGTCCTCGTGCATCCATCATTTTGTTGTGCAATATATATGAGAATTTCTCGAAATTATAAATTTGGCATCATCATTTTTATGGCTGCAGCAAATTGCTGTTTTTCATTATCAGTTAAGATGTTGGGTATTTTCTAGAATAATTAGCTAATCAATACTTTAATGATAAAGGCCTGTATTTATTATTTTTTCCCCATTGTTCAGTTTTACTGTGATAGAAAGCAGAGAAGAGAAGCAAATTTGGAATTTAAGAATGTTTTGGCCTTTTTGCTTGAGAGATGATTTAATAAACAATTAACTGATGAGCAAAATAGTTGGCAGTTAATATTTTGTTGACTGATTTGGTCATGTAATAATTTTATCTCTAACGATTTTATTTTGTGGAGTGATTAGCACTGGCCTGTCAGCATCATTTATTTGCCATTTCTAAGTATATAATTAGCTATGATTAATTAGCAGAAATTAGTTTTAAAAATTCAAAGGTGAAGACTGATTTGTATAACCTGCTTGTTTTATCATTAAGGAGTAAAAGAAGCGTTGTAAACCTGATGAACTACAGGTTTTAATTATGTTTGGTTTCATATTGTCAAACCAAAACATAGGCTTTTTTGTTTTACTGAAAATGGCTCGGTACTGCCCTCTAGTGGATCAGACGAGTTATTACTATTGGTTAGGACGCTGGTAATATTTGACTCCTATGCATTGATTTGAAGACCACCGTTTACTTTAGGCAAACTTGTCAAGAGTTTATAAACTGTGTACAACAGTTTTGGTAGTGTTTTAACACTATGAGGTTGTTGTAAGTAAATACAAGTGTTTATGTGTGCATTTCTTGACATCTATAAATCCTCCTGTGGGTGAAGATACCATATAAACACATATTTATGATAGTTCTAATCATGAAATATCTCTTCATAGAAGTTAGAATTGCTTAAAAAATTCTATACACTTAAAAACCATTTAATATTTGTATATAAATGCTAATCAAGGAGACTTAAAGTAAAGAGTTACTGATGAAGGCTTGAAGAGGGAATATAATTATTGTGCTTATGTTAATCATGCAGTTTCTGATTTAGCTCGTGTTGTTCTGATACCCTGAGAAGGTCTGTGGAAAGATTCACCAGGCATTTTAAGACTGTTCTCGAACCGTTATTGTTTTTACAAGCCACATGTTTAATGACGTCTCCAAATTTGAGAAGAGCTGCTTTTAAACATTTCGGAAATTTGCTACACAAATTGGCATGCTACGTCTGGGAAGGGAAAACAAGACTAGATGAAGTGCAGAAGCCTCAAGATGACTCCAGCTAACATATTACATAATTGTCCATGCAGGATCATTGCAAAGTGAAGCAGTTAAAAGCATGAAGTTTCACAGGTTTTAACCCTTTCACACTGAAATCTGCTGAATGTTCAGTTTTACATGCAGAGCTGCAATGTCCTCTCTCCTGCAGGCCAGATACACTGCAGCACACAGCTCCAGGTGCTCTGCCTCAGAACTGCTGAGTGGCTTGTTCCCTGTGTCTTCTCTACTGGAATTAAAGTCTTACTTCAATGTATTTTTAACAAGGGGAAAATGGAAAAAGTGCCTGCAAGTTGCCCAGCACCATTACTCATCACCTGCCTAGCTCGACAGCAGCGCTAGCGAGGAACACCTGCAGGTCAGCCCGTCTTGTTCTGGTTTGTGGAGAGCAGGGCCGTGCACAGACCTTTTGAGGGGCATGTGCTGAAATTGAAAAAAGCCCCCCCCCCAACCCCTCCACCTCTGAGA